ATATATGAATAACTGCCTTAATAATGTTATTTTATTGAGCAATAATTATTTTTTTATGTTTTCAGCAGTTTTTGTTTAAATGATAAAGTAACCTTTAAGGCCTATTCATATATATGAATAACTGCCATAATAATATTATTTTATTGAGCAATAATAATTTTTTTATGTTTTTAGCAATTTTTAAAAAAATGGTAAATATAGTAACCTTTTTAGATAGGCCTATTATTCTGAATGAAGTAGAATCAAATTCATTTTGAATCTAATAAATAATATACCATGAGAGATCTTTTGTGAATGATAAGCACTAATTGTACAGAATCAGAATGAATTTTATTGTGAAATCATTACAAAGTCATGAAAATTGTCTTCCCTGTTGCAAATAAGTATAAAAAAAATATGAAAAGACCATAAAGACATAAATTAAACTATACAATGGTACATAATTGCACAAAACAACACAGTTCAGTATGTCAGTAAAACATGAGTTATGACATTGAATTTTATTCTAATACAACCAGTAGTTGGCCAAACCAAGAACACACAAACGTATATTCATACAATTTAACAACTTGTATTGAAATTTTTTAATTAACCAGTAATAAACTATTTGAAATAGGCATAATACCAAGTTGCGAGTACCGCAAGTTGCCTAGTAACAGTGAATTCAGTGAGGAACATTCCTACAAGTATGTTCCCACAATACTTTCGGGAGAAGCAGACAAAAGGTCAGTCACATACGCGGATTCTTTGTACGCCGCCAATTCTGGAATGTAGATGCGCTGCTGCAATGAGAGACCATGTGAATGCAATCATGGTCGGCGGGACTGGGGAGGCCCGGCCTCCCACTTTTTGGCAGAAAATATATAATGTCTATGCAGATTTTTGTATGATTGGCTCCCTCACAATTCATATTCCCATTCATCGTACTAGTGGGGGGCCCCCCCACTTTTGAAAAACATTCCACCAGCCCTGGCAAGTACTGGAGTTGGCGATTAGAACCGTCCATTTTCCATACGATATGTGAAAATATGTGGGTAATTCAGTATGAGAAAATGAGTAGTTGATATGGGAAAATGTGTGGCCGTGATGAAAAGAGGAGGGGGTGTGATAGTGGGGGAGTGAGGTGATTTTTTTTAACTTGTCAAGTTTTTGGTGATGGAGAAATTCTCCCCTCTACTTAGATGCCACTGCATTTACAATCTATTAAAATTATCAATTTCTTGTCAGCTGCAAAACTAAAATAAAAATGTTAAATTTATTTCTCATTTGATATTTCTGTTCATGCAAAAGAGGTTGCCAAAATATAGGTCACTGTAGAAAACGCCTGTGTGAAAGTAAAAACAAGTACAGGTCACAGTAGATAACACCTGTAAGAAGGTGAAACAGCTTGACAAGGTAAAGATTGATAGCTCTATAAATTTATCATTAATTTCACAAGTTCAGATTGCCCATGGACAACATTCTAACAAATAGTGGACTGGGGTGATGAGGGAAATATCGGGAAAGTATAAATCACTTGTGTCAAATAGATCTCCAGCCTGTATTCTTAAAGGAAAAATGATACTGAAAGGTCCACTGATTAATCTCAGATAGTGTAATACACACTCCAAGTATCGAAATGTGTGCATTTCGATACTTGGAGTAAAAATGATATAGTATTAAATACAATTAAAATAAATAAGTCCAAACTGATTTTCATTTTACAATCTGTTGGTTCTTTTTTTTAAACTGCATGGTTTAGTGATTAGTGCAAGTTTTCAGGTAGTAATAAAAATATTCCTATTTTTGAAAGAGCCCAATTACCGCTGATTTAAGAGGAAATTAGGATTGTTAACCTAATCCAATCCCTAATTAATATTTCCTTTGTACATGATAAATTGACATATCCAGAAGAAACTACTTCAGATTAAATCAATGATACACTACATTTTGGAAAATGAAATTCCATATTTGTATATTGAAAAAAAAATTAATATTAATATAAGTTAATATCTTCTTAACAGACCAATTCTTATAATCTTTCTATGGACCTCATAATTGGTTGATGATCTGTTTAAAGTAAATAGATCTAAACTAATTAAATTTAATTTAACGATGCACTTTATCTGTTTAAAAATTAGCAAGAACAGATTTTTGTTTTATATCTCATTTGTGGTTATAATTGTACTTGATCCTATGATAAATTAATAATAAATTTAATATTTTATATTTAATAATACCATTTAATTTATCACAGAGAGCACACAGTATATATGTAAGGTACTAGCCAGAAATATTCCATTGATAAGGTAATTTCAATAATGATTAAAGATTGTCAGTTATAAATGTGCTTTGCATTGTATATATATTTTATTTGTTCATTTGCCATAATATCGACGCTGGTTCGAAAGGCGCGCTCGCCTATGGTTCTGGTGGTAGAAAAAGTTTTCTCAGATAAGGACTATAAACCGTAGGCCCAGTATGCACTATAAAGAACCCAGTAGATCATTTGAGACAAATATGGGATACCCTGGTGTACTGGTACAGACAGCCCCTGTGGTGGACGACGATAGTTGCTGGTACCGGGTTACTGGGTAGCACAGACACAAAGGGACCCGAAGGGGCGAAGAAGGTCATTGATTGAGTTAATAGTCCACATGTCAAGCGCCATGAGCATCTTGTTTGATGGATACCGGCGCCATAAAAATCTACATTATTATTATTATTAGTATTTTTATTATGTTACTAAAACCTACCTTAGGGGAACTTAGACAATGAAAATATTAGAGAACAAATAAAAAAATGATGTTAAGGGGAAAACAACACAAAAGATATTCCCTCAAGTCCGACTTAGCACATATTATTCTTATTATTGTGTTACTAAAAGCTACCTTAAGGAGAACTTAGAAAATGGAGAAATTGGAGAACAATTAAAAAAAACTACGTTAAGGGAAAATAACACAAGAGATATTTCCCTTTAAGTCCGAATTAGCACATATTTTTATTATTATTATTATTATTATTATTGTTATTATTGTTATTATTATTATATATTCCAAATCAGAAGTGATGTTGTTGGCTGCTGTTTACGTTAAAACAAATATACCGGAAAAATCTTGCAGGGAACAACTTAAAATTTATAAATTTAATGTTTTTAATCGAAAACCTTTAACATGAAATGTCGGCCGGCATTGCAAATGAGCTTCACTCTGGCTTAATTGGTGTTCATGAGACTCGCTGTTATTTTTTCTCGTTAAATGATTTATAATATTTTACGGGCATGTCAGTTATCAAATAATTCAATCAATCAATCTGAAGATAGTGTACTTGGGTATGAACAGATTTTATTGCAGCTAAATTATTTTTAGTCTATAAATCTCAAAATGTTGATGAAAGATACAGTCAGTTTACAGTTGGCATTACAGCATTCCATAAGCAGGAAGAAATTTTCATTTCTAAATTAAAATCACATGATACGATCCTTTATTGTCATTTTAACAACATGGTAAAAATTGAGTTGATTGATCCGATAGGCAAAAACAGTGCAATTCGGAAATATATAAACTATGAATAAAAAGAATAAAAAAACATTCCTTGAGAGTATCATATGGGTTTGGAGTGGGGGTCTCAGGATCAAGAAGAGACCACCATGACCCACCAGCTGAAAAGAAAGGGGACTTCTACTGTATACTATCAGTACTTTTAAATCACTAGAAACAAAAGAACAATATTAGATTGAATTAATAATATTTAAAAAAAAAAACAAAAAAACTTCAATTAGGAGTATTTGGTGTGGATCACATCAAGGATAACCCACTAAGTCCAAAGACTTGTTGCCAGTGGTGTCCTCCTGGTGGTGAATTGGGCAGTACACTGGGAAATAATCTCGTACTCTTTTCTGAAGAGTGTACTGCATTCTTTAACATGCACTTGGGCCATATTGCACACAATAGCTTAATTGTCTCATCTGAAGACGGTGTGCTATTGTAACTTGTATTTCATTCCACCAGTATAAATGCAAGGAGAGGCAGCGATGGGAATTGAACCGGGGACCTAAATATCTCCACGGTTCAGCGCACACACAGTGGCTACTACCAATTTAGCTGACAGAGCTAAGCTGCTCTCCAAATTGAATCTCAAATTCAGTGCTACCTTTATTTCGAAAGTGATTTTCTAGTTCTTTCTACCAGCAGCTTTTTTCTACCTGTAGCTACTGTAGCTGTATGCAAGACCAGAAAATTTAATTACATTCATAATATAGTATATTGGCCATTTTTAGTTGATTGCATAAAGTCAAATATACATAAATCAATAATACTGACAAGAAAAGCAAAGAATATTTTGCATATGTTGACATTTAAATCATCAGACACACGTGTCTTTTTCAGTGTAGTTCAGATCAGATAATAAATATATACATGAAAAAATCTGATGACAATAGCAGTATATAATTATATTCCTACTACAGTATATGTATACTAATATATCTGAGTATATATCAGTATATATACTTGCCTAAGTCGACTTTGCCTAACTTGAATAAGTCGATCTTATTTTACTTGCCAAATTGTTGTGTTTTCACTAAATTAACCATCTGTAAGTCAAATTTTATCTAGGTCCAACAATTTTTCAATGCCATTTTGGATTTGACTGAGGCAAGTTCAACTGTATATATACTGTGTGTTTATGTACTCTTATTTATATTTATAAAAGGAGGACAATAGCAACAGTTTATGTTTACTGTTGTTTGCTAGGCTAGGTGGCTTGGAATGGAATGTATGATGTGATGCTAATGATATTGTTCAATGACTTGCCTTTAAACTGAAATATTATGATGATGATAGATCATCATCATTACCAATCATCATCAAATCTGCTTCATCATCTTGAGCATCATCATTTTCATCATCATCATCATTATCTTCATCATCATCATTATCTTCATCATCATTGTCTTGTCATTATTGTCATCTTCAACATCTCCATCCTCATCATCTTCAGCATCATCATCATTCACAACTTTATCCATCATCTTAGCATTATCAACATCTTCATCATCAGCCTATCTCGGCAACTGCTGGCCAATAGCTTCCTCAAACACTCCTTTCTGTTTTAAAACTTTTCAAAACTTGCTGGATTAGCCAAATATTTTGTATAAAAAAAAACATTTAACGAGTTATGTTCCTTGCTCTTTATTGTGCATAAAATTTATATGATTGTTTACATGTTTATAAAATTTATATGCTTTATGCTCAAGCAGATGTGTAGATAGTACTTTTTAAGAATGTCAACTATGTTTTTGATGATTATGGGATAGTGTTTATTTTTCTTTCTCTGACGCACAAGGCCAGTCCGGGAACAGCATTCCATATGTCACAGGGGGCAGGTGTTTAACATTAGCAAAGTTATTCTGATGCCTCTTAACTCTGTTTTACCCCCTCCATGCACTGTTATCTCCAGTTTCTCATGTGCTTGGGTATTTTTTGTCTTGAAGTGCTTTCTGCCTTGTGTTAGCTTACCATTTTATGATTCATTTGTACGATTTGACCAACTCCACAAACTTTACTTCTAATTATGATGGCCACAATTCTGTTAGCATTACCTTCTTTCAAGACACTGTTATCTGTGCATTTAATATTGAACATCCTTTGTAAGCATTGTTGGTACTTTTCAATACACTTCAGATATTGCCTATAGATTATTAAAGTTTCAGAACTATAGAGGAGAGTAGGTACTAAAACAGCCCTGTCTCATACACAGCCAAAGGCAAAGTATTTGATTTCATCTTCATAACCATAGTTTACAAGTATTGGCTGAACAATGGACCTTCCCACTAAGCCCCACCACTTACAAGTATTCCTTCCCACTAAGCCCCACCCCTTGGATATTGTTGCTAAGGTCCTAAAAACTATAGCGTAAATGTATGTAAACATGTGCGTTTGTTGGACAACACACGTTTGTTGGACACATGCGCATTCCGGGTACTGTTCTGATAATAGTTCTTCAATTTCAAAATCCAGATAGGTTGATTGATTGATATATATATGTCTTCAGATTTACCTTTATTTAATTATTTATAGAGATTGGATATTTTTTGGTTAATTTAATCAGACAATTTTAATGAAAATATTCAATGAATAGAATTTTATTTTGTGTTGTTTTTCAGTGAGTCAGTACACTTCTGTGTTTGCATCCGTCCAATTCTGTGGAATTCTCTTTGCTCCTCTCTGTGGTTTACTGCTGGATAGAAATCGAAAAAAGAAAACATCAGAAGGAAAAGGTAAGGTTTGCAGTTTATCATTTTCATAATTAACATAATTTAACATTTCCTGCAAAGTTCCAGCTTGAATTACAGATTTCAAGATGCCAAGAATAATTGTAAGCTGTTCGAAAGGGTTTGTAAACTTCCAGAGATCAGGTTCGGGGGAAAAACCAGGTTTCCTAAAGCCAAGAAAAACAGGTCAGTTTTTGGGCAAAGATGTTCAATAACAGGCTTAATCCTGTAGTCTCTCTCTCTAGCCTGTCAAAACGCTCCTTACATAGCACATCATAAAAATATATTTGACAAGTTCTGTAAAAGATCTACCAAAAGAGCTGGCAATTCCGCAGTGAGATTTTGAATTTCATGCTCTATCTATATAACTTTCAATTTCATTTTCGTTTTTGCTTCTGCATTACTACTTTGGTGTTAAGTTTTATATTTGTGTAAATGTTTGCATTGTTCGGTGAGGGAAGAAGGGTACTTAGAATTTTTTTTCTGAAAATAAGTGGTTAAAGTTCAGTTTATTTGTGGGGAGTGATAACATTTGAAATATCAGGGAAGGAGAAAGGGATTTATTTAAGCTGTTTTGAGTTAATTTTAAGTTTTACTGTAGTTGTTCTTGTAATTGATGTATCTTGTAACCATTTGTCTTTAAGTTTTGTGTTTCAGATGCACTTTTGTGTTATTTAAAGTGTGCCACTGATGTAAAAATGCAAGTCCAAATAAATAATATTATCTGCCTCTATGCACTTTATAAATTCTATTTGATGTTTCATCTCCACCTCAGACTGCAGTGAACGCACATTCCTGGATGACCTTCAAGACAGCATACTTGCGTTTTTAGTGACGATCGTTATCACTTTGCTCTTCTGTATCATGACCATAATTCCTATTCTTGAGGTCCAGTATATTACGTTCGTGCTACAAGTACTTAGCCGTGCATTCTTATATGGATTGGCTGCAGCTTTCATCGCCACAGCGTGAGTTTTCGTCTCATTTTTTTCCCTACACAGAAACTACACAAGTGCCTTTGTCTGAATAATTTTTTTTTTTTATTTGTACTTCAAATCACTCATTAATGTTTTAAAGAAATTTTTTTAAAGTAAAAACAATTATAGTAATTTAACAATGATTTGAATGTGACTTTCCCAATAATAATTCAAGTTGAAACATTGAGACTATGTATGTGGTTCTGGTCGTCCCTACTCCACAAGGCTGTAATACTTGCATATTACTTACAGTACATGAGTGGGTGTGTACGACCAAGTTGCAGCAATCACTAATTCTATTCCATCAATCTGCTCTCCCAGTGAAATATAGGTTGTATTGCACCATTACTTCTGTAGAAACATATAAGCTTTTTGTCTTTTGAATATCCCATTTACACATTAAATCATGCAGTACACTGCTTTGGGGAGAAGGTCTCTGATGTACTAACCAATTGACCACGCGAAATGCAGTTGGTCCATGGCTGTTGGGAGTCCTCTCAAGAACCCAACTCGAATTTTCCAGTTCACCATCTGTAACAAATTGACTTACTTTACTTGTTAATGCAACAGTGTGTATAATTGTGATAGTATTCAGTTTAATTATTAATTGTTATCCTGATTAATTACCATGAAATCCTTTTAATTTGCTGTGTTGTTGAAGTGAATTATAATTTTAAGCTACACTTATCCTTGAGGGCAGCATTCTCAGTTAGAAAAAAAAACATCCAGAAAGAAAAACATTTATTTATTTATTTTATTGTGAAAATCTTTAATCATATTCATATTTCAGAAAAAAAGTTACTGTTTTCATTCCTATTGTAGATTTCCAATGCAGTTCTTTGGCTCGCTCTATGGAATGATGATGCTGTTGTCAGCCATTTTTGGTCTCATCCAGTATCCTCTATTCATCATCAGTCAGAAGTATTCTGATGGTGATCCAATATACGTAAGTAAATAGCGCCAACTATGGGTTTTTTTTGCTTTCCAATATTCTGTAACATTGTAATAATAGGAACAGCAGCAGTAATTTACATCATTATCGTCGTCTGCTTGTGTAATCTTCGTCTGTATACATAGCATTTACAACCTAAATGATCAGATTCTACCTTTTCTATCTGTTGCCAGCTTCCTTCTCTTGAATCGACTTTTCATATTATGAGTATTAGATCTTTATAGATTGATTGTTGGCATCGATGTAGCGGTCTGCCTCGGAGCCTTTTGACTTTTTTTATAGTCTTCTGAAAAGGCTTGTTTTTTTTGCAGGCATGTCATCTGGTAATCGTAGTAGGTTTCCTAACCATTTTATTTGTCTTTTCCTAATTTTTCATCATTAGTTCTTTTGTACAGTTCACTATTTGTAATTTTTTAAGAATTTATTTTTTAATTTACATGGCAGCTTAAAGCAAGAGATACATTAGATATGTAAGCAATCAAAAGGCTCATTTATTTTGTATAGTTTTTGCTACTACCAAAGAGTATAGAATACCAACTTGTCCGACTGCCAGGATTTCTTTGAAACGAAATCCTATCTCAGAGTGTAGTAACATGAACGCATACTATATCTGTGCTTGAATGCGAACTCTATTCGAATTTGAATAGGGCGCGCCATACCTCGTGGTAGTATTTTTTTTTTCGTTTCGTTGCTTGAATCAAAATTAGGGCAGGCCTCTTGCTATTCTATACGCTTTGCTATTACCCCCTCGTGTGACCCAAAATGTCATAATCTCATCATTAAACTAACAGCAGTTTGTTTCATTTGTTAATAGGTAAACATCTTTGTGTTGTTGCTGAACATGCTTTCGTTTTTGCTACCACTGTACATAGGTGTCTACGTGAAGAGAAAGCGTACGCTTTGGCGTCAGAAGTGTGGTACTGCACACGCCTTGGCACCAGTTACTACTTAAAGTTTCCTTTTTGTATCTTACATTTTTTAAGTTATCTTAGTTGAATTCTTTTTTTTTCCTGTGCATCGCATTTTACATTTAATTTCACCAAAAATCTTTAAAATACATACAAAGGACAAAAATACTGTAAAGACAAAACTATACCCTTGTCGGTGACAGGATAAACAAAAAGCAAACTTAATTGCTGTGGAGAGTTTTTTCTTCTAACAAGGGTATAACAGTAACATAAAAAAATATATATATAAAAGTATATATAAAACTATTTTATAAAAATAGATTTACTGTAAAAGTAGGAAAAGTACAACAAATTAAAGCATGAATGTAAGGACTGTTAAAATGTGTGATTCTAGGGCAAATCGCTCAAGTCTTAATTTTATATTTTCGTAGCTTGATATTATTTTTGATGTATTATCTGATTTGTTGCTGTTATCTCTTCTAAAATATGGATTTCTGTCTTTTACTCCCCTCTCTTGGTAGCTCACTGTGAGTAGCATTAATGCACTGCCAGTCACACACATCACAATGATTGTATTTGTGCAAATTTTATGTAGCAATTCTACTAGGAACCGAATTAAAAAAAGTCTATAAAATAATGTCTTGCCCACACTGACAGAACTGTTAAATAGTTTGTTTGGAGGGCTTTTTAAAATTTCCAGATGGAAAAATTTACTTCAATACAACTTAATATCATATGACTGATTGATCCTTAGATTTTAATGTTTTACAATGTTAAGTAAAAATTAAAATTCTCATTTCTGGTCTTATTGTCAGCACACTGGGTGTCAGTGACAGAGTGGAGTTGAATAGCTTGGTGGTTCACATGCTTGCCTTCCAAACCAGGGTCCTGGGTTCAATTCTGTGACAGCACAGGGTTTTTCCCACAATTTCCTAAGAGCATAACTGGGTCCTGTAGGAGATCAATAGGTTACTCAGTATAAAGAAGAAAAGGTTAAAGTGAAGTAAATCAATATTTTCCATTTAATTTTTTTTGAAGATTTACATCCTAATAGGATTTAATCAGAAACTGATGAAGCTGTTCGATAATAAGCTTGTCCCATTTAGGTGCTACAGACTACAGTATTCTTAGAAAATATAAATACACTATAATAATAAGATAACTCAGTGAAGCTTACAACCACTCAGCGCTTGCGCCAGAAATTTGCCTACGAGGGATTCAACATGTCTGACGGAGGGGTCCGAACCAAAAAAAATTATTTTCTTTGCTTGGTAGTATTTGCTTAAACTTATATTAAATTCTTTAAACCAAATATGTATAACTAGAAATTAGAATAGACATATAATTTTCATGAATATTATACTTATGTATATAACTTTGACACTAAAATGCGCTGTATTAATTATCAGTGAAATAAAGGGTTGAGAGTATATTTCTAAAGGGTACTCTGAATGTGTCCTCTCTACCACTTGAATGTTGTAGTCATAAAACTAATGTCCATACTTATGGTGCTCTTGCTGGCTGGTCCTCAGGCATCTGGTTTCTCAGAGTTTGGTCATGTGCTCTTCTCTTTAGTGTTACAGTGTTCCATAGTTACCATCTTTCAAATCATTCAAGAAAGCAATACGCTTTCTCCCTCTTTGCACCTTTTCTTTGCACCGTCCTTCAATTACTGTTTTCAGTAGGTATAATTAAAAGAGAACTAGCAAAATGATTTTTTGTTCTAGAGTGGATATTTGATATGCCATTAATAATAGGATCAACCTTAAAATCATTCTTTGGCTATTTTTTATGAAGTTATAGACGATAATATACGATTTTACCATGACGTCACTGGCGAAAAAGTAACAAAAGATCGTGTAAATAGTGCCGCGTAGGGTATCCGCCGCGTACGATCATTGCGTACATGCTGTAACAATCACAATTTACAGCCATGGTTACAGCGTACACGCAAAGATCGTACGCAGCCGATACCCTACGCGGCGCTATTTACACGATCTTTTGTTACTTTTTCGCCACTGACGTCATAGTAAAATCATATATAATCGCCTATAACTCCATTAAAAAAAGGCCAAAAAACGATTTTAAGGTTGATTCTATTATTAATGGCATATCAAAAATCCTCTCTAGAACAAAAAATCATTTTGCTAGTTCTCTTTTAAACCATGCCCATGAATGAATGAATGAATGCCCAAGTATAAAGAAAATGTTACAAATTGTGGAGTGAATGACATTTCAATTGTTATGTGCATCTTGTGCTCTCATAAGTCAGTGTACCCGTGTTTACCATGCTTTGACAATCATGTGACTAGGTGTCCATCCCCTGCATTCTAAGGAGTTTATTAATGGCTGGCAAAGGTTTTGTTTTTATGAATGAAAATTAGTTGCAAAAACAAAAGGGGAAAAAAAATGTGGTTTAATTGTTTATAAAAAAAAATATACATTTTCAATTCTGTTAGTAGTTAAATCCTACTCCAGTATTGTATTTTAATAAAGTGCATTTGAAAATAGTCCCTTGGTAGAATATGAAAATCAGATATTGAATAGATTAATAAGCTTTAATTTGGTCTGTAAAGAGGGGTTTAGACAGAAAAACGAAATAGGCTGAAATTGAAGAAAAAATTTCACGTAGCGGCATCCAAGGGACAAAGCCCGAGTGGTGGTGGATTTGGGAGGGGGTGTCACCCTCCGTACATAAGAAAAAAAATAGAAAATTATGACCCATTTAAAAGTGTTTAAATGTTGAAATTTTATCTTCAAAGGATCAATAGTGTTGAATGAGCTATCACAAAGATATTTCAGTTATAGACACAGACTGCCCATGGTTACAGTTGTTTACTCTCATTATTTTTCTAGGCTGTGGAGATGCATGTTCTTCTCGCCCTAGTCTAGTGTAAATTCTACATTAAGGTCCTCCGAATCGAGAGATGAATAGGACTAGGCCTACTGTATTTTGTTGACTATTAACATTTAACTTGTGATGTTAACAACAAATCTGCTTTACGGTATTTTATGACTTAATTGTAACCTCAGATGTACCTCAGATATTATATTTTTGTTTTTCATTTGTAATAAAACTCTAAATGTTTGATTTATATATCTAAATTTCGTACAATATAATTTCAACAGGGTTGATTCATTCTAATGTAATTTTATGTTTTTCTTTGAATGATATTTCATAGACAATATATTTGTGGGTATTACAGTATATACTCGCGTATAAGGTGATCCATGTATAAGACAACCCTTGCTTTAGAGAAGATTTTTGGATGATTTTTGTATATCGGGCATATAAGACAACCCCCCTTGTGTCATCATCGGTAGTCCTACTTTTAGCTGCTTTTTAAGGTCTTGATACTGCATCTAGCTGGCTAAAGACGGAGCCAAATGTACAGCCAATATTTCAAATAATACCATTTTATGAGCTTTTAAATGTTCATCAAAATCTTATTTCTCCGCTTTTAAAATGGCCCTCATTTATACTAATAGTTAGCAGCTTCATTTCAATAGTAGCACGTGTTACACGCGATCTCCACTTAAGACAAACATGTCAGTTTAAAAATTAAACATTTTTATGTGTTGCAGGTATAAGACGAGCACCTGTTTTTCGATCGTACTCTGCCATTTTATGTTTTGTCTTATACGCGAGTATTTAGGTACATCATTTAAGGTTCCTTGATGTAATAATAAGGAAATCAAGGCATTGGCTGAACTTGCATTGTACTTATATTGTTGTTTTCTAAACTTTGTGCAATGTACAGACCCAGGTTTTTTTTTTGTAATGTATCATTCGTAATTTAGCTGCAAAGCTACTATGATAATATTTTGAAGTAAAACTTGATTAGGCATTAAGTTGGTAAGAGAAAAATTGTTTGTGGATTAAATTCATTGTGTTTAGCACATTCCAAAAAAAAAATCTAAAGACTGTACATATGTACTTGTACTTTTCTGACATTCATTGATATTATTAACTTGGTTTTTAATTTAGCTCAATTGTATTACATAATAACTTGCATTCTACAGTAGAACAGTTGTCAACCAGAATAGGAATTGGCTTTAGTTTTGAAGATTATATTTTGCCTTGTTTCATGGCCTAAAAAGTATCCCCTTATAAGTGAGGGATCCTACTCTAGCTCTAATCCTATAAGTGGTAAAACGCTATTTGAATTGGTGGAAAAAAACGGTAAGGTGCATTTATTTTCAATTACTTTTCAACATTAACTTTATATGTAAATATATTACATGTTTGTTTAAGTATTTTATTGTATGTTACTATTTATCCCACCCCAATCAATAGTAAGAAAATTAATTAGTTCAGTATTATGTATTCACTGTTGAAAGACAACTTGTGTTAAATGCTGCCCTCTTTTGTTGAGAATTATAAAGTTCAACCAAAATTATCTTGTTATTGAATATATCACAGATTCTATATTTGAAGATGTGTTTTTAAAATGTTATTTTTCTTTGCTTGGGATGTTTTTATCCGCTAAAATTTAACCTTTTTGTAATAAATTGTATATGTATGCTGTAGACATTTGTATTTAAATGTGTCTCTTTTTAAAAAAAATTTTTAACAGTATACAGTAATATGCAACCTGTGTCATGGGTGTGGGGGTGGCGATTTTTTTTTCCGTACAAAACATTTACATGAAACTCCACTCGGGCCGTCTCGGCTGAATCAACCCGAAAATCTCATTGCAGAATTCAGGAGGTCAAAAGGTCATCAACAGATAAACGTCTACAGAACAACTTCTGAGAGAACGTCGCTGTCTAATTTTTAAAAATACATTGATGTTACCATGTTAATACCAATGGGTCGTTTAAAATGACATATAATATTTGATTTAGCTGCACGAGTAATGAAAAGTGTTATTTTAACTTGAGTTACATACTATGACAATTTTAATTTTTTAGTTCGGCCTGGGTTTTGCATAATTACCTAGGCCTACTAAAAACGCTTTCTGGGAAAAGCACAAGAGGTAAGGAAAAGCGCGTTTTTCTTCATCTGATCAAATGAAACAGAATGACAGTTATTTTCAAATTAAGAGAAGAGCTGAGAATAGGCAGCTCTAAAATACTGGATGCCATAAGACCTGCCAAAATGGCAAAACATCAAATAAATGTAAAAATGAGATTATTAATATTAGGCATAGTAATCGGCAGGTTCTTGATTACAAGGCTAGACCAAGTTAATTACATGTAATGCCGAAATGATAATAATAATAATAAGTA